ATAGTGACAGAAAACTTTCCTAATTTGGTGAAGGAAGAAGGCATTCAAGTTCAAGAAGCACAGAGAGCCCCAAGTAAGAACCCAAACAGGCCCAACCAAGACACATAGTAATCAAAGTGCCAAAAATTAAAGACAAAGAATCCTAAAAGCAGCAAGAGATAAGAAACAGGTTACCTACAAAGAAACCCCATAAGGCCCTCAGCTGACTTCTCACAAGAAACACTACAGGCCACAGGGAATGGCATGAAGTAATCAAGGTCATGAAAAACAAGGATCTGAATCCAAGACTACTCTACCCAGCAAGGCTATCATTCCAAATAGAAGGTCAAATAAAGAGTTTCCCAGACAAAAAAAGGATAAGGGAATACATCAGCACCAAACCAGTACTGCAAGAAATGTTAAAAGGACTGCTGTAATTAGCAGGAGAAATGGAAAGAAAAATAGAACCACACTAAAGAAAAATGGCAATAAATAAGTACATATCAATAATCACCTTAAATGTAAATGGATTGAATACTCCCATAAAAAAAAAACAGACTAGCTGATTGGATAAGAAAACATGAATCATCTATATGTTGTTTACAAGAGACCCACCTCAAAACAAAAGACTCACATAGATCGAAAATAAAGTGATGGAAAAAAATCTTCCAACAAACAGAAAGGAAAAAAAAAGCTGGGGTAGCAATACTCATATCTGATAAAATAGATTTCAAAATGAATGCCATAACTAGAAACAAAGAAGGCCACTACATAATATTGAAAGAATCTATCCAACAGGAAGGTATAACCTTGATAAACATATATGCACCCAATATAGGAGCACCAAAATATATTAAAAATCTTCTGGAGAACTTCAAAGGAGAAATCGATAGCACTACAATCATAGCAGGGGACTTCAACACCCCGCTGACATCACTGGATAGATCCTCTAGACAAAATATTAGCAAGGAAACAGAGACTCTAAATGCAGCTCTAGACCAAATGGATTTAATTGATACCTACAGAGAATTACATCCCAAAACTACAGACTTCACATTCTTCTCAAGTGCACATGGGACATTCTCAAAGATAGACCACATGTTAGGGCACAAACTAAGTCTCTACAAGTTCAAGAAGACTAAAATCTTATCAAGCATCTTCTCAGATCACAATGGTATGAAACTAGAAATTAACTGCAAGAAGAACATACAAAGACATTTTAACACATGGAAGCTAAATAGCATGTTATTAAACAATGAATGGATCACCGAGGAGATCAAGGAACAAATCAAAAACTTCCTGGAAACCAATGAAAATGAAGACACAACAACACAAAATCTATGGGATATAGCGAAAACAGTTCTGAGAGGAAAGTTCATAGCACTACAGGCCTACCTCAAAAAACAAGAAAAATCTCAAATAGACTATCTAACCTCACAACTTAAAGAACTAGAGAGCAAACAAAAGGAAAACCCCAAAGCCAGTAGAAGGAAAGAAATAGTAAAGATCAGAGGAGAAATAAACAACACAGAGACCAAAAAACAATTCAAAGGATCAATGAAACAAAGAGCTGGTTTGTCGAAAAGATAAACAAGATTGATGGACCCTTGGCTAGACTCACCAAGAAACAAAGAGAGAGAACCCAAATATACAAAATCAGAAATGAAAGAGGAGAAGTAACAACTGACACCACAGAAATACAAAAGATCATTAACAACTACTATGAACAATTATATGGCAACAAATTTGACAAACAGCGAAATGGACAAATTTCTAGAAACACATATTCTCCCAAAACTGGACCAGAAAGAGATAGAAAACTTGAACAGACCAATAACAAGAGAAGAAATTGAAGATGTAATCAAGACTCTCCCAGCAAACAAAAGCCCAGGCCCGGATGGCTTCAGGGGGAGTTTTACCGCACATTCAAAGAAGAACTAATACCCATTCTCCTCAAACTATTTCAAAAAATTCAAGAAGAAGGAAAACTTCCAAACTCGTTTTATGAGGCCAGCATAATTCTAATTCCAAAACCAGAAAATGACACTACAAAGAGAGAAAACTACAGGCCAATATCCCTGATGAACATAGACGCCAAAATCCTGAACACATGGGACTACATCAAACTCAAAAGCTTCTTCACAGCGAAAGATACAATCATCAAAACGGAAAGGCTACCCACTGTATGGGAGAGCATAATTACCAATGATACATCAGGTAAGGGGTTAATTTCCAAAATATATAGAGTACTCATACAACTCAACAAAAGGAAGACAAAGAACCCAATTAAAAAATGGGCAGAGGAACTAAATAGACACCTCTCCAAACAGGACATACAAATGGCTAAGAGACATATGAAGAAATGCTCATCATCACTAATCATCAGAGAGATGCAAATTAAAACAACAATGAGGTATCACCTCACACTTGTCAGAATGGCCGCCATCAACAAATCATCAAACAACAAGTGTTGGCGAGGGTGTGGAGAAAAGGGGACTCTAGTACACTGCTGGTGGGAATGCAGACTGGTGCAGCCACTATGGAAAACAATATAGTGTCACCTCAAAAAATTAAAAATTGAACTTTGACCCAGTGATCCCACTTCTAGGAATATACCCTAAGAAGCCTGAAACACCAATCAGAAAGAATGTATGTACCCCCATGTTTGTAGCAACACTATTTACAATAGCTAAGATCTGAAACCAGCCCAAGTGTCTATCAGTAGATGAATGGATAAAAAAGCTGTGGTACATATACACAATGGAGTACTACGCAGCTGTAAGAAAGAAAGATCTCTTATCCTTTGAGACTACATGGAGGGACCTGGAAAATATCATCCTAAGTGAAACAAGCCAAATAGAGAAAGAGAAGTATCATATGATCTCACTTATTTGTGGAATATATAAAACATAACAGTCTGAGGAATGGGGTAGTCCCAGAGACGTGGAAGTGGGGTACAGATTGACAATCCCCAGAAGAGGGGGTGGTGGGGGAGAGATAATCCACAGAACTTATATGCATGTATGCATGAACAATGGACAGGGACAACAAAGTTGGGGAGAGGACAGAAAGGGATGGGGAGGGGGAATCAGTGGGGGGAAAAGGAGAAACATCTGTAACAAAAATTAATAAAAAATAAATAAATTAAAAAGAAAACCATGTAACAATTTTGCCTAATTAAAAAACAAAATTAAGTCAAAATGGGAAAAAATATTTCTAAATATTGAAAACTATAATATAATTAATAGTATAATCAAAAAATATAATTACTTCAAACGAATTATTAAAAAGTCTATTAACTGTACAACCCTAGAACTACAGAGATATTTTTAAAATATGACCCATATATCCATATAAAGGAATACATACAGAAAAAGAATGAAGTTCTGATGCATGCTATAACATAGATAAGCCTTGAAAACACTATGCTAAGAGAAAAAACACCAGTCATGAAAGGCCATGTATTACATGCTTCCATTTAATGACATATCCAGAACAGGGAAGTCCATAGAGACAAAAAATAGATTAGTAGAAGAGTAGAGAATGGGGAATCTGTTATTGGGTATGGGATTTCTTGGGGGGTGGGAGGGATGGGATGAAAATGTTCTGAGATTAGATAGTGGTGATGGGTGCATAGTTTAGTGAATATACTAAAAACCAATAAACTGTCCACTTTAAAGTGTGAATTTGATGGTATTCAAATTATATCTCAATAAAAAAATGACCCTTTTCTCCTCCAGCTACCACCACATCTTTCCTGTCCCCTTATAGAAAAACCCCTCAAAAGGTACACCCACACTGTCTGCCTCCAGTCTCTCTCCTCCCAGTCTTCACCGATTCCAATCAGGTGCTCATCAACCTTAGCCTTTTCCCTCAAATTCTTTAGTTCTTAACATATACTAAAATCCTCAGCTATATTAAACTTAATGATCATCCATAGCACCAGCCTACTCCTAATACATAATAGGTTCTCCATAAAAACTTGCTGACTGAACTGAATGAATCAGTGAGAGTAAACACAAACTGAGCTCTATATTCAGTTTTTTTAATTTAGGAAGGACAGAGAAAACAAACACTTCTAACATCTCTAAAACAACTTTGTTTTTTTTTTTGGCCAGTATGGCTCAGTGTTTTGAGCTGACAGCCTTCGAACAAAGAGTCACAGGTTCGATTCCAGCCAAGGGCATGTACCTCAGTTGCGGTTCATCCCAGCCCTGGTTGGTATCGTGGGGGAGGCAATGAGTTGATGTGTCTCTCTCACATTGATGTCTCTCTCTCTCTCTCTCTCTCTCTCTCTCTCTCTCTCTCTCTCTCTCTCTCTCTCCTTCCCTCCCTCCCTCCCTCCCTTCCACTCGATCTGAACATAAATGGAAAAATATCCTGGGATAAGGATTGAAAAAAATAATTTAAAAAATAAAACGACTGCCCTGGCCGGTTTGGCTCAGCGGTTAGAGCGTCGGCCTGCGGTCCAGAGAGACCTGGGTTCGGTTCCCGCTAAGGGCATGTACCTCAGTTGCAGTTTGTCCCTGGCCCTGGTTGGGTTGTGCGGGTGGAACCACTCGATGTGTCCCTTTCACGTCGATGTTTCTCTCTCTCTCTCTCTCTCTCTCTCTCTCTCTCCCCGACTCTATCTGAACAAAATACCAAAAACAAAACAAAAAAAAGGACTTTGTTTTTGTTGTGTTTGTTTTGTTTTTTCATTTGAAATGTGGGCCTCTTTTCATGCATATTGCAAACAAAATTATTCAGCAACCTAAATACCACTATTTGAATTTTCATAAACAGTTCATTCATCTTAAACACAGCAACTTTAAATATTAGGAAGGATTAAAAAGCAATTGAAAATTCTAAAACCATCACCAGAAATTTGACAAAGTTTGAATTTGAACTCTTGCTCATCAGAATAAAATATTGTATAATTTTAAAAATTAAAACTAAAAACATAGTTACTCAAAGACATTACTCATGTGAAACAACTAAGAGGTTATAAAAATAATAAGGCTCTTCAGACTATGGATTACCTGTTCCATAGTAGGACAAGCAATGATGTGGATATCTTCAGGACTGAACTCTTCCTTCAACAAAACATGGAGCTTCTGGAAGACTTGCTGAACATTATTCTTAGAAAGAGAAGAGATAATCATATTAAATGAGTCACTAAAAATATATACAGTCATTTTAAAATGAAGCACTGAGAATGTTAAATCATAATGATAATTGCCAAAATGAGTGGAGGAAATGCATCTTTCATGGGATACCAAAGACATAGTTTGCACTTATTATTTCACATGCTAGCACAACCCGACTAAGACTGTAACAGCTCCTGGAAAAACCGAACCATAGCAAGTCCTGTTCCCCCAGAGAGTCTTCAGCAGCAATTTCTTACACAAAAGATAATAAAGTTCCCAGACACAAAATGTACTTTAAAAATCAACCAACATAGAGCTGGAAGTTATGACTTCTAAATTTGCTCTGACGTTTAATACCTTAGTGGCTGCTGCAAGCCATTTATTTCCACTACTCACCAATAACATGGGCATAATTTCTGAAAGGCTGCTCTGTGAAGTGTTGGGCCACTCACATCCAATGTGAGGGTTGGTCTGTCTAGCTATCATCCATCCATCCATCCATCCATCCATCTATCTATCATCTATCTAATTTCCATCCATCCATCCATCTATCTATCATCTATCTAATTTCTACTTTTAGGTAGAAAGAAACTTAACGCCAAAGGTACTTAAGACAAAGTGAGGGTGGGGAAAAAAGGTATAATCAGACAAATGCCAGCTTTGTAAGCCATTTAAGAATCCCAGTGATTAATTATCACCTTCACCAGAATAGTATACCAACAGGAAGACGTATACTATTTTTAAGTATCTACAGTAAGAGGGAAATAGCAGACAAGTCCAGAACACTTGAAGAGACTGGCCAACATTCAAATAAATTATCACGATACTCACCCGAACAGGTTTAAACAAGATGAACTCAGTATCTTTATTGGATAGGTACAGTGACATACTTCTCAAGGTCAGAGGCAGCTTAGCTTTTATTGTCTTGTAGACACTTGCCACGAGGTCACTGACCTTTGCTGGAAAGAAACTAACCTTATTAGTGTCAAAGAAAAAGAGAAGAAACATTTCCATTTTAATTCAGAGGGGAATAAAGGGGGAGAAAAACAACAAAATAAAGGACTCTGGTGCCTGGCGAGACCATTAGAATAGTGAGTTCTCATCTCCAGGTGAGGTGCACAGAAGAGAAAGAAGGAATACATAATGAACTCCGATAGGATTTTGTCTTTGAAAAATGCACACGGAGGGTTATTATGATGGGTCAACTTTTGGAGATTCAACTTTACTAAAGTAATAATCACTGAATTTTATCTGTCACCTCATAGAAGCTACTCTGAACAAAGTGATCTTCCAATGACCAGATCCATATATTAATTTTAAATTTTCGTATTAACTTTCAACGTCAGAATAATTTGGAGAAACTGATGACTTGCAACTCATTAAAAATTTAGCAAAATGCCCTGGCCGGTTTGGCTTAGCGCTTAGAGCGTCAGCCCACAAACCAATGAGACCCAGGTTCAATTCCGACCAAGGGCACGTACCTCGGTTGGGGTTCGTCCCCGGCCCTGGTTAGGATCGCACAGGAGGCAACCAGTCGGTGTCTCTCTGTCTCTCTCACTCTCTGTGTCTCTCTCTCCCTCCTAATGTAAGGATAAATGGAAAAATGTCCTCAGGTAAGGATTAAAAAAAAAAAATTAGCAAAACTATTACCGTAAGCAGAAGGGGCAGCCTTAATCAATTCCTCCAACCACACAGGAACCTTCCTGCAGGTGAAGCCTGGGATGGAAAAGTGGACAACTCAGAACTGGGACATCTGGTGTGATCCCCTCAGAGCCTCCCTTCAGATCCCCTCAGGAGCTCTGGTGGGGCACTGGTGAGCTAGAAAGCAAGCAGCTAGCTCCCCTCCTGAGGGCCAAGAGCCTGCACGACCTCCAAAAAAAGGCTGCCTGGATTTGCATCTCCAAAATCCACTGGCACCACCTGCCAAGTGCAGTCCCACAGGGGGGAAGGAAGTATAGCTCAGAACTGAGACATCTGAAGAGACACTCTCAGGGGCCTCCAGCAGGGCCTCTGACAGGAGTCACAGAGAGAGAAGTGGGTGAGAGCTCTCTCCCTTCCCAAGGGCCAGTGCCACCGCAAGCAGAGGGGGCAGCCTTGATCTATTCCTCCAACCCCACAGGTGCAACCTCACAGGGAAAAGGGGACACAACTCAGAAATGGGACATCTGGCATGACCCCCTCAAAGCCTTCCTTCAGGATCTCTGTAGGGCACCACCACGCTAGAAGGAGAGTAGCTAGCTCCCCTCTCAAGGGCGAAGGGCCTGTGCCACACATTTCAAATGGTGGATTGGATTTGCATTCCCAAATCCTGCTGGCCCTGTCCTACTAAACTCATTTCCTGGGGCAAAAGTCAATCCCACCTATTAATAGACCAACAGCAATCAGCTCCCAATTACAACAGGAGGGAACACATAACCCACACAAGGAACATTCCTAGAGTATCTCCTCAGGAGATCAAGGAGACTTAACCACTGCATTGCACAAAACACTCCACCCCACAAAGACTTGGAGTCATAGCAGTTCTATCTAATACATAGAAACAATGACAAAAAGACCACTAAAATGGGGTGACAAAGACACAACCCTCAAATGAAAGAAAAGAAAAAATCTCTACAAAAAGAACTAAATGAAATAGAGCCAAGCAATTTATCAGAAACAAGAGTTCAAAATAATGGTCATAAGGATGGTCATACAACTTAGTGAGAACTAGAAGGAACTCAGTGGGAACTACATCAACATGAAAACGTGCATAGAAACTCTAAGAACCAGTTGGAAATGAAGAATACCATATCTGACATAAAGAATACACTCTAAGGAATTAAAAATAGGCTGGATGAAGCAGAGGATCAAATCAGTGACTTGAAGACAAGGAGAAAAAAACACCCAATCAGAGCAACGAAAAGAAAAACAGATTTTTAAAAAATAAGGATAATTTAAGGGAACTCTAGGACAATATGGAATGTAACAACATCCATATCATGGGGGTACCAGAAGAAAAAGAAAGTGAATAAGGAATAAAGAACCCGTTTGAACAAATAATCACAGAAAATGTCCCTAACCTGGTGAAAGAAAAAGACACACAAGTTCAGGAAGTATAGAGAATCCCAATCAAAATGAAGCCAAACAGACCCATACCAAGACATATCATATTTAAAATGGCCAAGGCTAAAGACAAAGATAAAGACAGTTACCTACAAAGGAGTCCCCATAAGACTGTCAGCAGATTTCTCAAGAGAAACACTTAAGGCCAGAGGGAATGACACAAAGTATTCAAAGTAATGAAAAGCAAGAGCCTGCAAACAAGACTGCTCTATCCAACGAGGCTATCCTTTAAAATTAAAAGTGAAATAGTTTCCCAAACAAAAGAAAGGTAAAAGACTTAAGTATCACCAAACCAGCATTGCAAGAAATGCTTAAGGACTGCTTTAAGAAGAAGAAGAAATATAGAAACAAAGAAACATAGAAATAAAGGAAAAAGAAATGGCCCTGGCCAGTTTGGCTCAGCAGTTAGAGCATCGGCCTACAGTCCAGAGAGACCCGGGTTTGGTTCCCGCTAAGGGCACATACCTCGGTTGCAATTTGTCCCCGGCCCTGGTTGGGTTGTGCGGGTGGCATCCACTCGATGTGTCCCTTTCACGTCGATGTTTCTCTCTCTCTCTCTCTCTCCCACTCTATCTGAACAAAAAATGGAAAAATGTCCTCGGGTGAGGATTAAAAAGAAAAAAATTAAAAAAGAAAAAAAATTGGCAATAAATAAGTACATAGCAATAATAAACTTAAGGGTAAATGAATAAAATGTTGCAATTAAAAGATATATGGTAGCTAAATGGATTTTTTTTAAACCAATATATAAGACCTACCTCAGAATAAAAGATTCACACACGGTGAAAGTGAAGGGATAGAAAAACATACTTCATGCAAATAGAAACAAAAAAAGCTGAAGTAGCAATACTTAATTCTATCACAACAGACTTCAAAACAAATGTCATAAAAAGGGACAAAGAATGTCACTACATAACACTAAAAGCATCAATCCAACAAGCGGATATAATCCTTATGAACATACATGCACCCAATATAGGAGCACTTAAATATATATATATAAAAAAACTCGGTGGCTTTTAATGGTGAGATTGACAGCAATACTGTCATAGCAAGGGATTTTAACACCCCACTATCATCAATGCATAGATATTCCAAACTAAAAATCAACAGGAACACAGAGACATTAAATGATACACGAGACCTAATGGATTTAATTTATATTTACAGAGAATTTCATCCCAAAGCAGCAGAATATACATTTTTCTCAATTGCATACGGAACTTTCTAAAAAAAAATAGACCACATCTTAGAACACAAAACAAGTCTCAGAGGATTAAAAAATGGCGGTGGAGTGAATGGAAGCTACACAGACCATAACCCAGGACCAAACTGGAATTACAACTAAAACACAGACAAATCGACGGGAAAAAGCAACAGAAAAGCAGCTTGGGAGGACCATATAACCAGGGACACTGACTCGATCCTGGTAGAATTGTGAAGGTGTGAAACGGGGGCTGGGAGCCCACGGTCGGCAGCTCGGCAGCAGCCTTACCTGTAAGTGGTGCCCTCGGGTTAAAGTCCCAAGCGGCTGCACAGCGCAAAGCCACAACCACTCACCTTGGGATCCGACAGAGGGAGGGCAGAATGGACTGGAACTGTGTGGGGACACTAAGGATTTGGAGGGTGCTCAAAGCTTTTGCTGAGTTGCAGCCATGCAAGACGGTGGCCATACTGCTCCTTCCCAGGGCACTGGGGAGAGGCAGCAGCCCCTCCCTCGAAGATTCAGCCCCCACTCTGTGGGCCACTGAAATACAAATTGAGGCTAACTGAAAAACAGCATCGGCCCCAACCTCTGGAAATACCCTTATGCTGAGCACCTGAGGGAGTTTTTCAATCAACTGACAACCCAAAACTCTTCAAGTAACCTGGACTGCTAGCCTCCAGGCACAAAGCTAGAGGATAACAGTACCATTCCTGGGCTAGCAACTCTAACCAGGAATGTTAAGACTTGACAGTGGTGTTTAAAGTGGGTCCTCCCTCGCTCATCTAAACCCAGGAGAGGGAGCCACAAATAGCAGAACACCAATACCCACAGGGAAAACTTGGCAGGCTCCAAACCCCACTGTGATAGCCAAAATGGTGAAACACAGAAACAAAAGCCAAATGAAAGAACAAGAGACCTCCACCGAAGATAATATCAATGTGGAGCAGTTAGGCAAGTTAACATAGCTAGAATTCAGAGCCATGATCTTGAGGAAGCTCAACAGCATGAGTAAGGACATAGAGATGCTAAAAATAAACTAAATGGAAATTAAAAACCACCAAGAAGAGATAGAGTGACATATCAGAAATAAAGAACACATTGGAAGGTCTAAAGAGCAGAGTAGAAGAAGCTGAGGACCGGATCAGCGAATTAAAAGACAGGGTAGAAAAAATCAAACAATCAGAAAACTAAAAGGAAAAAAATGATTAAAAAACAGGAAGACAGCTTAAGAGAACTGTGGGACAACTGGAAACGTAATAATATTCGCATCATAGGAGTCCCCGAAGAAGAAAATAACCAAGGGTCAGAGAATATTTTCAAAGAAATAGTGACAGAAAACTTCCCTAATCTGGAGAAGGAAGAAGGCATTCAAGTTCAAAAAGCACAGAGAGCCCCAAGTAAGAAGAACCCAAAAAGGCCCACATCAAGACACATAGTAATCAAAATGCCAAAAATTAAAGACAAAGAGAGAATCCTAAAAGCAGCAAGAGATAAGAAACAGGTTACTACAAAGGAAACCCCATAAGGCTCTCAGCTGACTTCTCACAAGAAACACTACAGGCCACAAGGGAATGACATAAAGTAATCGAGGTCATGAAAAACAAGGATCTGAATCCAAGACTACTCTACCCAGCAAGGCTATCATTCAAA